CACGACAATGAACTTGTCATTGGCCCATGACGTGTTACTGGTGCGACCAAGAGTATAAAAGGGCACCTGTAGCACACGTCATCAGCTTCTTGTCTGAAGGAGACGTGCACAGGAATGCCTGAAGCATGGCAAGGGGATGCAGTGTCTCGTTCCCCTTCTCAGGGAACCATGGTTACATGGGTAACCTGAGACGTTCCCTATCGAATGGGAACTCGCACTGCGTCCCCTAGAGGACACTTTGGGGAACGAATCCCCACGCCGCCATGCTGAAGGAATGACTGCCTTATCGGCAGGCATAAGCCAGGAACTCGAAGAAGTTCTTATCCCCAGAAACACACCAGCAACTGTCAACACACTGTAAGGGTCAGAGTTGATGCGGGCAAGTCACAGTCACCCATCAACGTACAGTTTACGTTTCACAACCCTAAGTGCGAAAAGAGGCCTTATTGCACAATAGTGCTAGGAATTGGGAACGCGAGAGGCAATACTGCCCCTCTTCCCAGACGTTAGTATCTTGAGGGTCACAGCAGGAGTGGGACGCAAGTCGCGGAATAGCCCACCATCTCCACATACCTCTCATCTGTGAGCGCAAAACAGAGGGAACCCCCCCCTGCACTAACATAAGGTAAATATAAGAAGTTGGAATGCGAGAAGCGGTGCTGCCCATCTACTTTTAAACGTCTTGATATTGTGAGGATCATAGCCGAAGAGGTGGGACGCGAGCCGCGGAATAGCCCACCATCTCCGCGTACTTCTCACATCTATCCACACAAACGGAGGGAAACCCCCTTGTGGTAAGCACTGCAGGTCATAAGAAGTGGGAACGCGAGAAGCGATATAGCCCATCTACTTCAACCGTTATCATATTGTGAGGATCATAGCCGAGGAAGTGGGACGCGAGCCGCGGAATAGCCCACCATCTCCGCGTACTTCTCACATGTACGCACACAAACGGAGGGAACCCCCTCCTGCGCCATCACATGGTAATTTACAAGAAGTGGGAACGCGAGAAGCGGTACTGCCCATCTACTTTAAACCATCTTGATATTGTGAGGATCATAGCCGAAGAGGTGGGATGCAAGCCGCGGAATAGCCCAC